AACCACTAAGAAGAATATATGCAGTGTAGTATTTGTTGAAACTGTACTTCCGATTTGAGTTGAAACTGTCTCATTGCTATATGTTTATCAATAAAACTGTAGAAAAAAATAAATAAATAAAATTTTCTGAAAGTTATGTAATTTTCTTTCAGATAATCAGTATGGCCTTCATAAGACTTAAGTTTTACTTTTGTCATATACTGTATTCCCTTTTTTGTCATATACTGTATTCCCTTTTTTGTCATATACTGTATTCCCTTTTTCTCATATACTGTATTCCCTTTTTTGTAATATACTGTATTCCTTTTTAAGGTACATTTTTTGTCATATACTGAATTCCCTTTTAAGGTGCATTGCATTAAAAGCATAAAGATTGCTGGGTTATAGCTAAGTGGCACAGCACCTGGCAAGCCCAAGGTTGTGAGTTCAATTCCCAGTAACTCCAATCTCCCCCCCCAAAAAAGTCCCAGAATAACAAAGAATTTTTGAAACAATATCTAAAAGCTAATATCTCATTATACGAATATGAACATAATCCATTTTATGAAACTAAAAATAAGTCTTTAAAACTAATCAGAAAAAGATATTTTTAGTGGTTAGTAGTATAAAGGGAAAATCATACCTCATCAGTGTTATAGATAATCTGGAGTCCTGAAGAAATCATTTCCACAAGGTAAAGGAGATAGAGTGACACTGCATTTATCTGAAAATTAAAAAAAACAACATAAAAGGTTAAATGAAATTGAGGACAGCAATGTATAATACAAAAACCATGGTTGAATATCTCCCAACTTGGGCTTCTGAATGTGTAGTTTTTCTAATGTCTTATCAGTTATTAGTATACTCTGTTTAAAATAAATTTTTAAAAAAGTAAAAAAAAGGTAAGAAAAATTTATGAGTTATTGAAAGCAAGTGTTGATATTCAATTATTTGTCCAATCCTGAATAAGTATATCTGTTAATCTAAGCAACAGATTTGACAATAAAATAGATAATATAAAAACCATTGTTAGCTATTCTTGCTTTGAAAATCTATAACATATATATGTTGTATGTTACTCTGTTTCTGTCTGTTTCTATTTGTTTTTGCTTTTGTTTTTATTCTTCAAAATAAAATAAAATAAAATAAAATAAAAAACAGTTCACAAAATGCCTGTCATTTGTAAGTAAGTTTGTAAGTTTATTTGAATTAAAAAGCTACAACATGGTTAATTTTCTCTGTCAATTGGACTGAATAAAGGGACATCTACATAATTAGTAAAATATTATTTCTGGGTAAGGCTATCAAGATATTTCCAGAAAAGACTTGACTGGCAGGTAAGTCAGTGGACTAAGCGGGGAAAGTCTGCTCACCATGTGAGTAGGCACCATCTTAACTTTCTGAAGGCCCAGATGGAATAAAAGGTGTAGCAAGGGTACATTTCTGCCCTCTCTTCCAGAGCCACAGTGTTCTCCTTTTCCCACCTTTGAGCATCAGAACACCAAACTCTTACTTAGGGGCTCCAGAACTACCATCAGTCTCCTTCTGTCCAGCTCTGGATTCTCTGGCCTCTAAGAGTTACATTTTCAGCTTCTGTGGTTCTGAGGCTTTCAGATGTGAACCAAGTAATACTGCTGGCATCCCTGGTTTTCCAGCTTGTAGACTGCTTATGCTGGAACTTAGCCTCAACAATAATGTAAGCTAAGCCAGGTGTGGTGATGCATACCTGTAATTCCAGAACTCAGGGAGGCTAAGGCAAGATTATCACTAACTCAAGCCTAACCTGGGCAATTTAGCAAGACCTTCACATAAAATAAAAATTTTAAAAAATTAGGCATGGGGTATAGAAAGGCCCTACATTTAATCCTCAGCATTACAAATCAAACAAAGAAACAAAAACTACATGATCCAAATAGGCAAATTATGGGCAAATCCAGAGAAAGTAGACAGATACATGCCTAAGGCTAGGGAGCTCTGGGGAAAATTAAAAGTGGCTGCTAATGGGCATAGGGTTTCTTTTTAGGATGACAAATATGTTTCCAAAATTGACTGTGACAATGGTTGTACAACTCCACAATGGTTTCACTACTCCACAAATACACTAAAAACCAATGAATTATACACTTCAACTCTATATACAGTATACAAATAATAGCTCCATAAAGCTTTTATTAAATAAAAGAGAACAATTTAAGCAAAAATTTTAATAAGTTGGAAAACTGCAAACCTGAGTTAAAAATGGGAAAGATGCAATTTTATTCATTTGTAATTCTAACATAGAAGACTATTATACTTTAACAGCTTGGACCCCTAGTGTTTCCCTGGAGTTCCCTATAACCCTAACTGAGTGATGTCAAGATATAGTGTTAGGCAGAAAACTGTTGGTGCCTTCAAAGTCTTAAATAATGCATGTCTTGTACCACCAGGGCCAGACACTCTTGACAGTACTCTCAAAACCAGGCTGATCCTGGATGTTTCCTGACTTTCTCAATCTCAGAGACAAGCGAATGTCAAAGTCTTGTTGAGGTCCAAATGGGCCATTCAGGAAAACAGAGCATCTAGATTTCAGGTTTTTTAGAAAAATATAAATTTTTGAGTGATTTCTCTTAAAAACTGTTAAGAGTTTCATCCCGCTGAAAGGCTCATCTAAATAGCTTCTTGAAGCATTGATACTGGCCTATCAGAAATATTTGAGAGAAATTTTATTCTGCCAAAGAATGTTGGTCAGGTCTATAATCCCAATAACCTGGGAAGTAGAGGTAGGAGCCTGGGCCACTGAGTAACTTAGTATGATTGTCTCAAACACACACACACTAAAAAAAATAAACTGATTCACTAAATTAAATAAAACTAAACAAAATAATGGCTGGGAAAATAGCTCACTATAAATGAACCTGATTCAATATCCAATACTGAAAAAAAAAATAATTCCTACTGATAGCCAACTACAGAAATACCTTAGAACAAAAGAGCTCTCTGCTCTGACTTTTTGAAATGTTTCTGAAAAAAAAAAAAAAAAAAATTGGTAATCAGAAAACTGTAAGGATAAGTAATATTTAATTCCCATAATATACCAAGCCCAGAGCTTAAATTCTGGGATATAAAAATAAATTCTAGAAGTGAAGATCAGTGATGACAGTATATAGGCCTAGCCTCTTGGGAGGTTGAACAGAAAGATCTCTGGAACTCAGAGGTTTGGGACTAGACTCGATAACACAGCAGGATCTTGTCTCTTAAAAGAAATTAACAAAAACAAAATAAGCAAGATATATGGCACTGACCTAAAAACAGACAAATAGACCAATGGAAGAGAATTTAGAACCAAAAATAAAACCATATTTTTGCAACTCATTGATTTTTTTTAAAAAGACAACAAGAATACATGTTGAAGAAAAGTAAGTCTCAAACAATGGTAAAGTGTGACAGAAAGGTAAAGCATGTTTGTGATCTGGAGTCACAATACAAGGAAAACAACAACTTGGTATATATAAAAAAGAACTCCAGTAATTCAGAGGAAGATGACAGGAAATAAACTACAGGATGAAGCCATCTGTTAAGTCAACCCTGGCTCATAAGGAAGAGACCTGTCTTAACTCACACAAGGAAAATAATGAGAGGTTAGCAGCTCCATTGGCAAATAGTAGACTAGGCCCTTGTTGCTACACTAACAAACTTTCACATCTATCATTAACCACAAAATCATCATGGTGTCTTTACATTGAAAGTGACTTTTGCATGGCAGGTTATAGTTGTAGTAAAAATCCAGTGTAGCACTATCATAATTCAGAGTATTTAATCAAGAGCCATTTGGGGGAAGGGTTAATTATTTAAGACTGAGCTACAAAGCAAAGCAAAACAAGTATACTTCAGGGTTACTGGTGTCAACCTACCACAGTAACTGGGTAGAAGACTGCCATAACAGACAATAGAAGAGAGAGAAAAGCTTAAGCTCAGCTTAAGAAAAACCTGGGATTTGCCCTCTATAATGAGAAGCCAGGACAGACATGTTGTTTTCTGGAAGTGTGGCATTAAATCCAGTGGCTGCATCACATTACCAAGTCTGTTGGCTTTCCACATCTGCCAGCATGATAAGGAATATGCCTTGGCTTGGACAGTTGCCATAGCCTGACATGTAAGGACAGAAGGGGCCTTTGGTGTATGTGTGTGGGATCTCAAAAAGCCCACAGGTTATAAATTTAGGTGGAAAAAACAGTGATTCAGGGAACACAGAGAGATACAGAACCTAAGCTATTTAGTTAACTATTATTGGATTCAGTTCTCACAACAATGTTGTTAGTAGACACTTAATGTCTATCGGTATTTTGTTTCTCTTTGTGTATATATTATTGTTGCGAATTGCTTTTCTATTGTTAAGTATGGTAACAAAGTAGCTTTTATTGGTTTGCATGGTATGTCACTATGCAATTTTTCATTCTATTATTCCTACATTTACTGCTATTACAAAGGCAACATAATTTTTAATATGAATTGGTTTTTATTGTAGGCCAATATCTGGCTTGTCTTTCTGTCATTAATAATATTACAGTTCAGTTTCAGAGAACATGGTATTGGGCTAGTTACACTGCACCCAACCCTCTCCAAATTAAGAGTTGGTCAGATCTTGGTATAGAAGCAAAGACATAGAGTTTGGCTATACAGAGTATATCAATGAAAATCAAACATTAACTATAGATAATGACACTAGCAATAAAGTTCATCAGCTGTAATTGGCCCTCACTGCTCAACAAAACATGAAGAAAGAAACAAGCAAACAAACAAAGCTTCCAAAAACTCCCATCATTTCTGAAGGTGACCTATAAGGCACCAATGGGGAGGAAATTAAAAATCGAACAGTGTAATTATACATAATAATAAAAGAGATAAAAAATACACATAAAGTGCTCCACAACTTCAAAGACAATATAACCCAATTCATAATTGACTTAATGAAAAATCATCATTGAGCTTACAGAAAACACTAATAAAAAGCCACCAGGGTAAAATAAAATGATCTAAAGCATAAATAAACAGTTTAGCAGAGAATTACAGTCCACACAAAAAGTAAATCAAACATAAATCCAAGAGACAAAAAGTTCTGTGGAAAGTATAGAACTGCAGAAGTGACCATATAAAACCAGAATGTCATTACTAAAAGATTGGACTGATGTGGGTCATGATATACTCAGAGATAATTTAAAAACTATAAGAAATCATGAAAGAAGGTTCCAACAGCTGCTACATGATGAAAAGACAAATCAAAGATTAACTGCAATTAGTTAAAAATCAGGAGAAGAAAATTACATCTTCTTAAAAAAAAAAACCTATTCAAATAATAACCAGAATGAATAGACATTTCCTGGGAGAAATACAAATGACCATTAAGTATGTGAAAATATGTTCAATATCTCTGAGCATGAGAGAAGTGCAAACCAATACAGCACTGAGATTTCACCTTATTTTATAAAGAAAAATTGTCATCAGTAAGGCAAATAAAATAAATGTTGGTAAGGCTGTAGAGAAAAAGCCTACATTGTCAGGGAATGGAAAGTAGTACAATCACTAGGGAAATTGTGGGAAGTAGTACAATCACTATGGAAATTGGTATCAAGAGTCCTTAAAAACACTAAAAATAGAAATTCCAATATACCCAGCTATTGTACTTCTAGATATCTTTCAAAAACATTTAAAGAAATCATTCAGTGACACATACCCATGTTTATAACA